ACGAGGGTCTCAGGTGTAGCAAGGACAGAACAAACCTTTGCAAAAGGCGTGTAAATCTCATTATAAAAGGCATGCAGGTCGCACACCCCATGGGTCTACCCTGGGATCACCTGTGGGAGCTTGACATAAATGCAGGTCTCTGCTCCCATCCCCAGCCCCGCACACGGAGGAGCCCGCTGGGTTCTAGGCTCAGAGAGCAGCACAGCTCACACCCCTGTGTGACCTGCCGCACAGCCTTCCCGCTCTGGGACCTGGGAACATTTAGGAAACTTTTCTCGTCTTTGAGATTCATTTTGAGCAACATCCACCACGTGAATAATGCCCCTTCCACCAACCAGAGTGACCGTACAGACTTCATGGTTCCCCCCATGGCAGCTGGGAGGTAGTAACGTGTCCTTCCTTTCATGGGAGGTGCTCAGATGCTCCAAAGAACTGGACCCTGCACATTCCAGCTGCTGAGGAGGGGTGACTCTCAGTGCCCATGTTCCACACGCCGATGCCTGTGTCTGCCCAGATCTCCAACAGACCTGGCCCTGCGTGCACACTGGATCCAAATACTAAAACATGGCGGAGCCCTGGAATGTTCTCCCGACGTCTGCATGGGGCCAGCCACCATGGACCGTATTGTGAAGGGGAAGGGAGAGTTAAGCCGCTGAGGGGAAGAAGGATAATCATGTACTGTTGTCCAACCTCCTGAATCGCGCCGTTTCTGGCCGTGCTCTGTGACAGGGTCACTGAACTCAGCTTCTGCATCGGGGTGCATCGTGTGCAGCTGCAGCGTGGGAGTCTGCAAGTGCAGGTCCCGCATCAGGCGAACACAGCAAATGCAGCGCATCTGCGTGTATCTACCGCCACCTTCCAGGGTAAACCTTGCAGGACGGTGACAATAAATCAAATGGATTCAGAAGCCAACCCTGGGCTGGGGTCGGTCACTCACACCCATAATCTGAGCACTCTGAGAGGCCAAGGAGGGAGGATCTTTTGACCCAAGAGCTTAAGGTTGCAGAGAGCTGTGATGATGCCACTGCACTCTACTCTGGCCAGCATAGTGAGACCCTGTCTCAAAAAAACAGAACAAAACCAAATAAAAAAAGCAGCCTCAACCCGTGAGTCTGTTAGTCTGTAACAGTGATACGGGTCTATGTCATTCCCTACCTCAGGATGTGACATGTTATTTTATACATTTATAGGTAGAATGGAAATGGGGAAGAATCAAAGTTTGTTGCATGCACAAAGGCCCGGTGGCACGTGTGCTGGTGTTTGCAGCCACACAGGGTCTGTCGCAACTGCCCAGCGCCTGTCCAGACCACACCGGCTTCCGTAGAACTCAGTGCTCCCAGCACATCATCCTTCCTGGGACAATGACGGAGCTCAGGATGCCCTGACCAGCTGTGGGCTCAGAGGCAGAGCCCTGGGGTCTCCCCATGGCCTGGACCCCTCTCCTGCCCTCCCTCCTCACTCCATGCGCAGGGGCTGCTGTGTCCCTGCCCCCAGGATCAGCCTCCATGGGACCCCGGGCCTGGCCCGACCCTGAGCTCAGCCCAGGGGATGCTGCAGGGAGGACCCTGAGGATGAGCCCACCCTCCCCTGAGCCTGCAGGCCCCGTGGTCTCCTGAATACTGAGCTGCCCCAGTAGAGGGAGCCATGAGACCCTGCCCCACCTGCTCAGGAGAGAGGGGAGCAGGCACAGAGCAGAGAGAATCAGGGGGACCAGGCCCTGCAGAGCCACAGTGGCCCCCCGTCCCCACGCACTCTTCAGCTCTCTCCTGGGCACAACCCCGCTGACCCCAGCAGCTGCAGGCCCGGGGGGCCCCTCACGATGGCCAAGGCCAGGACGGGGGATGGCAGTGAGATGCGGGGACACAGCCATGTGGCCACCATCCCCCACATCTCCTCCCTGCCCACCCTGGTCCAGCTCTGCCCCCAAAGCCCAGCGTCTGAGCTCAGGACACCTGGGTCAACCCTGGATATGCCCCAGTTTTGCTGCGTTCCACTGGGCAATGTGGTCTCTGGGCCTCAACCTGTCTGCTGTGAAATAGGGAGGCTCATTCTACCCCCAAGAAATGATTTTTCTTTCCGCATTAAATGGTACGAATTCCACAGAGTGGTTTAATGACTCACGAGAGACGCAGCAGGAGTCCCAGTGAGCGGCACAGCCTGAGGGTCCTGTCCGTCCCCTGCGGGATCCAGGGAAGGGGCTCAGCACAGAGCATGTTCCCTCATGATGGGAACGGGCTTCCCAGGTCAGGGTGAGCAGGAGACTCCCCGTTTCATCAGAACCCCAGGCTGCGACAGTGTAGAAACGCTCTCAGCACACCCACTGTGGGTGATGAAATAGAATAATCACGTCAGAGAGTAATGAGGATGATGATGACAATGATGATGACTACGTAAGTGCACGACTGAGCTCTAGTGACACAAACATCAAAGGGTCCCAGTGGATTGGTGCTGCTCTCACTGGGAGGGTGGATAGTGAGTTCGGTTCCTAAATACGGAGGGAGTCTGGGTCACTACAGGGTGGCACAGATGCTTCTCCGGACCTTGGCACTTTGCAGAAGAGCCACAGCCGGTCCTGCGCTGCCTTTCCTCTGTGAAACACCCGGGATCAGAGAAGGAAATTTCCACACTCACAGGGTTACAGAACCCGCACCTGCCCCACCTCCCTGCACACCGCACATGGACCTCTGTGTGCAGGCCGGGGCAGGGCAGGGGGTCACACTGCCACAGAGTGAGGCTGGACTGACTGGTCCCCACCCACCAGGTGACAGGTGCTGTGGGGGGACCTGGATTAGGGAAGCTCCTGCTCTGAGTCTCCTCCACCAGCAGGGGGCGGCAGAGCTGCAGCTGCAGCAGCAGGAGACAGGCTGGGGCTGCCCAGGTGGGGCCTGTCCTTGGTGCAGTGGCAGGATCCTCTTGGGTGGAGGGACCACTGACCACTCCCCTCCAGACCTCACACCCTGTGCAGAGACAGTGGCCCTGGGACCCTCCCAATGACCATGGGGCCTAAGGTGGGATCCTCAGTCAGGTGTGGATTTCCTGTGCTGTTTCCAAGTTTACATAAGACATTGATGAGAATGAAATGAACAATGGAAGAGCTGAGGGTGACAACTGCTAGTCCACTGTGGGGGCGGGGATGTCACAGAAGGAGCCACAGCGTGTGCGCAATGAGACCAGGAGCTATGACGCATCCTCAAAGGCAGGCGGTTGTTCAACAAGCAGACGACCCTGCACTGAATGATTCACTGTGATCCTAACAACAGAGACCGGCATTTGGATGAAATGACCAGGTGGGACCTCACTGAGTCTGGGGACCCAAAGGGGAGATGGAGGAGGAGGAAGAGGATGGTCTGGGACCCCTTATGCTGGGTCAGGTGTGGTCAGTTATCTCACAGCACCCAGCGCAGCCCAATGGCCAGGCTCCTGGAAGGGACACGGCCCTGCCGAGCCTGGCCCAGGACAGACCACAGCCAGGAGGGTTGGGATAGGAGTCCTGGGGTCAGTCCCCAGGAAGGTGAATGTGACCTCAGGCCTTGGAGGCCGAGGCAGATTTGCTGACCTGAGAAGCACATGGAGGAAGCTGGGGCCCCACCCCTTCCTGCTCAGTCCCTGTGCTGCCCCCACAGCTGGGTGAGGCATGTCCCCCAAGGAGGAGGCCCAGGGGACGTGAATTTGCGTAAACACCAAACACTCCCTGCCCCACAGGGCCTGGGAAGGAATAAGAGAGGCCTGGGGGAGCCCAGCTGTGCTGTGGGCTCAGAGGCAGAGCTCCGGGGTCTCACCATGGCCTGGACCCCTCTCCTGCTCCCCCTCCTCACTCTCTGCACAGGTGCTGCCCCAGGCTCAGCACCCACAGCACCAGGGGTCAGCCTGGCCCCGACCTTCAGCTCAGCACAGGGGATGCTGCAGGGTGTGGGGCCCTCTGGGAACGAGACCCTCACCCTCAGACTCACCTCTGCTGTCCTCTCTTGCAGGTTCTGTGGCCTCTCAGCTGACTCAGGTGCCTGCAGTGTCTGTGGCCTTGGGACAGACGGCCAGGATCACCTGCCAGGGAGACAGCTTAAGTAGCTACTATCCAAACTGGTACCAGCAGAAGCCGGGCCAGGCCCCTGTGCTGGTCATCTATGGTAACAGCAACCGGCCCTCAGGGATCCCTGAGCGATTCTCAAGCTCTGACTCAGGGACCACGGCCACCCTGACCATCAGCGGGGCCCAGGCCGGGGACGAGGCTGACTATTACTGCGGCTCCTATGCAGGAAGTGACACTAGCCACAGTGGTCCAAGTTCACAGGGAAGTGAGACCAAAACTCCTGTGAGCTCACTCAGACACCTCATTAATAATCTCAGGGTCTCATTTGCTTTATTCTTTGGTATCATTTTACTTGGAAATAATTACATGTTTAAAGAAAATTTGAAAAGAATAGCATAAAAGATTCGTGAATAACCTAGTCCCAGAATCACCAACTGTTAACATTTTGTGATAAATGGTTTTTATCCTTTCTCTCTGTGTATGTCTATCTATACATATCTATAGGCATATATTTTTGTGTATGTATATCACGTATGCAGCATATATGTATTTGTCTATGTGTCTGTACATGTTTTTCACGTGTATATACACACACACAAATGCACACAAAATTTGTTTATTTTCTGAATCGTTTGAAAGAGTGTAGGATCAATAAAGCCACTAGGACTTTACACTTTTTGGGGAAATACCATCCTGTTCCATAAATTGCACCACTTTAAGCTGTATGAGTCAGTGGCCGTGAGTGTATCGATAGGCGAGTGCCGCGCTCAGTGCTCGGCAATCCCAGAAGCACCTCACCCGCTACCTGCCACACCCGGTTTCCCACGTCCCTGAGCCCTGCCACCCACACTCTGTGTCTAAGGACGTGCCCATGGTGGGCATGGCCCACATGTGGGTCATACACTAGGTGGCCCTTTGGACCTGGCGTCTCTCACTTGGCGCAATGTTTGAGGTTCGTCTCATCGCGGCGTTGGTCACAACTTCATTCGTGTTTACAAGAGAACGGTGTTCCGTGCACAGATCTCCATAGTGGGTTGTCTAGTACCAGCTGGCTGGCGCTCGCTCGTGCCTGACGTGTCTTCTTCCATCACAGTCCAGGGCAGAGAACCCTTGGAGGTTTGATGACATGGAAATGCTACCGTCCCCCCACTGCACACCAACAAATAAAAACATAATATTCACTGTTAGGAACAATGTTTGGAGACAGCGAAATCCTAACTCTGCTCCCATCCTGGGGCCTCCGAGGAACCGCCCTTGAGGCGCATCGTCCCTGCTCCCCTCCCGCTGTCTGCACACGCAGGGGACGAGCTGCAGGAGCAGGGAGGGGCCGCGGCCTCAGCCTCAGCTTCTCCAGAGCAGCAGGAGTGGCCGTGCCCGCCACTGGCTCTGTCTCTGTCTTCCCCTGTCTCACGATCAAGGCCAGCCCGGTGCAGAGCGGAGAGTACAGGTGAGAGTCTGGGTCAGACACACCTGGATGGCACATCTCGGCTTTCAGATCACACCAGTGCTGTCGGAATCTTGTCGCTGTCAGCTTCTTCAGAAATGAGCTGGGCACTTTGACCTTACAATAAAGGGAAGAACGGGGAAGGGTGAGTGCAGAGGGCTGGGCGCAGGACTCAGCTTTCGTGAGCACACGGTGCTGTCGTGGTGCCCACGCTGCCTGCTCTGCCTGGCCTGGCCTCGTGCAGAGAGGTGTGTGTCACCCCCTGTCGAGAACCAACCTGCTCAGGAGTGAGCCAGGACTCAGCCTCCCTGCCAGGAGGGCAGAGGACCCAACACCCACCTTCCGCTCCGACAGCTCCACTTGCTCCTTCCAATGTCACTCCTCCCCCACCCTGCTCCAGCCTCAGGGCACCCACATTCCTACAGGGCTTCTCCGGTGGCTGTCACTGCAGATGCGGGAAGGAGCTGTCTCGGGACTAAGGCAGTTAACACTTGTCAATCTGCTTCCCTGTCTCCACGTCTGTGATGCTCTCTCTACTGTGTTTCCGACATTCTGTGTGTAAACGTGTATCCTAAACTCTCCCTGCGGTTTAGCGGAGTTTCAGGAGGGTCACACTCAGGTGTGTTCACCCACATTCAGTGCAGTAACTTGATTCCCCCAGGTGCATTTTCTGTGTCCAACAGGCTGTTTGGACATGAGTCTCCTGTGGTGCCATGATGTGAATCTGGCACCCATGATGGGCAGAGAGAAATTTGTTCTTGCAATTGCTGTTGTGCAGCCTGAGAAAAATGAGTGGAAAAAATTTTATGAGAGACTCTTCAGGGAACGAATTGCCATTGTCGAGATTTTATTAATAATTGAGCAGTCACTGAAGCCTGGAGAGGGCTCTGGAAGCACTTCTGCCAACACAAGAAAATTGGTGACAATGAACCTTGTGTGATTTCCATCTCTGTTATTCAAATTCACTGAGTTGCTTGAAACTCGGATTGTAGCTTTCGTTAGGCTCAGTCAGTTATTCTGCCATTATTTCTCTTTCTGCATCTTTCCCCTTGGAGATTCAATAACATGGACAGCAGGCATCATACAGTCATCCCACGAATCACTGCTCCTTTTTTCTGTTTTGAGGAGATTTTTTCTGTCTGTTTCCCTTTGACTAGTTTCTCTTGCTATGGCTTCACAGGCCCTAATGTTTTCTTCTGCAATGTCTCATCCAGTTTTGGTAGCGAGTGGTGGGTGTGATTTCAGTTTGTTGTTTCTCTAGCATCTCCACTTTATCTTCTTTTATATCATTTATTATTTTTGGAAACTTTCTTGCCATTCATTTCAACAGTGTTTTCCCTTATTTCTTGGGATACTTTTATACTAGCTGCTCTAAAGCCTTTTTCAGATAATGCCAACTGTGTCGTCTCTGGGTAATCATCTGTCCATTGTCTCTCACATGTCACTTCAAGTTTTCCTGCTTTTTAGAATGTCAAGTGACTTTTGGTTCTATCCTCAACATATGCAATATTATGTCTTCAAGCATTGGGATCTTTACATCCTATGTTGATGGTTGTGTTTGCAGAAACTACTAAGGGGGTTCAGGTCGTAAGGTCCAAACCATCTTCTGTGGATGAGGTTGTCCATATAACTATGATTTATATTAATATATAAATATAAAAACCTTTGTCCTGCTATTTACATCCGTGCTGGGTGTGCACCACTGCGTGTTCTAGGTGGGATCTGAATTGTGATTCACCTGTGAATTTTATTCTCAAAGTCTCTCGCATCCCCAGATCCGTGCCTGCTCAGTGTGGGGCTGAAGCCAGAATGCATACTCGAGTCACACAGTTGCTTCCTGAGCTCATCCCTGTCCACACTCTCTTGGTGTGTCCAGTCCCTGGTTGATGTCTTGTTGGTCCTCTGGTCCCAACGTTGCAACTCTACTTCCCTTGCAGAGCAGGAACTTCCTTAATGAGCCAGTTACAGGGGCCCAGTGGCCCGAGGAGAGGAGAAACGTGCCACAGGGGTCTGTGCTTCCCTCATGGGAGAACAGCCCTTGAAATAAGAAGAAAATTTCCTGTTACCTCCACTGTCACTGTAGCCACCCCATAGACTACCTGGGAGTCTGGGATATGGAGAAAGAGAGAGAAAAACTATAGGCAAAGAAAACGTGCATCTCCCCAGCTCACTGTGGGCACCAGGAGTTTCCTTTCCCATCGCCCAGCCTGACCAAGAGGGCACGTGTGGACTCCTTTCTGTCCTCAGGGCTGTGTCCCTTCAGGTTTGGGGCTGCCTTGAGCCCAGGGTGGGGCACACAGAGAAACACTGGGGGTCTCATACTGATTCTGCGGTATTTGAAATGCTGGTGCCATTTGCATGTGTGTTCCTTGTCCTGGTCCTCGAATAGCTGCTCTGTGCACTGGCTGTGGTTTATAGGTGAACCCAGGAGGGGAGACAGGGTCCTGTGTGTCACAGTATTGAGACGGGACTTGAACTCATCAGCAGTCAGTTTAATTTAGAATATGAGAGGAGTTTCATCATTGGCAAGGGGGAAAACAAGAGAAGCTGAACACGTTGAGAAATTTTGAGGGAATAAACACACACACATGTTCATGGAACGTCGGGGCCTCCTCACCCTCCCAGCGGGGAGAGAGGTCAGCTGTGTGGTGCCCGAGGGTGTCCTGAGATGGGGAGACTGAGAAAGCAGCAAACAAACATCCCAGTGACCCTAAAAATCGAATCACAGTAAAATGTTATTAAATCTTTCAATAAGTCAGAGATTCATGGTGACTATCACTGTTGTCACACAGTAATGTCTGTCACCAACTTGCCCTGTCTCACACTTGGGCACATCTCCCTGGCACATGGACGGTGCAGAGTGGACTTGGTGGTCCTCATTTCTCAGGCTGAGAACTGGAGACCCAGAAGGGAAAAGTCCCCTGCTCACACGTGGCAATGTCAGAATTCAGAGCAGCAGACTCAAAGTCAGGGTGGTGGCACGTTCTGCAACTCCTGATCCCTCTGCGGGATTCCTCCCCCACGTGCCCATGGACGCTCCCTGGGGTTTGCAGGTGGGTGGCCTGGGGGTGACTGATGTGCTTGAGGGATTCGATGCTGCAGATGCTTCAGCACAAAGGGTGGGGGTGGGGTGGGGACAGGGATAAGCTGGGGAGACCTGAGACCAACAGCACAGCAGGTGTTTCCACTGCGAGGGTGGTCCCATGTCCTAACAGTAGAGAGACCCAGGAGATGGGGGCCGAGCAGAGGGCACTACAGGGCGTGCACCAAGCCTGGGAGGGCCACAGAGACATAGTCACTTCACAGCAGAGACACTGAAAGACCAGGAGCTCACCAGGCTGAGGGACTTCAGCAGATCTATCTCTCCCACGCAAACCAGGTACAAAGAAATCAAGTTCCTCTCATCAGAATAAACAAACTGTGAGTTTCGAGGCCCTCAGCTGAGCCCTGCTGTGCAGGGACCCAGAAGTCCCTGAGTGCAGGCCCAGGGCAGGGCTTGCATGGAGGCCCCTCCTCTGAGCAGGGATAAGAGAGGCTGGAGCAGGCCCAGCGCTGGTCTCAGGGCAGCGCTCTGGGGGCGTCTCCACCATGGCCTGGGCCCTGCTCCTCCTCTCCCTCCTCACTCAGGGCACAGGTGACACTTCCGCGGAAGGGGCCTCGGGGATCTCTGGGCTGACCCTTGGTCTCCTGCTCCTCAGGCTCCCCTGGGGCCCCGCACGGACTCACCAGACTGTGTTTCTCCCTCTTTTCAGGGTCCGGGGCCCAGTCTGCCCTCACCCAGCCTTCCTCCGTGTCCGGGAATCCGGGACAGTCGGTCACCATCTCCTGTGCTGGAACCAGCAGTGACATTGGGAAGTATAACTATGTCTCCTGGTACCAACAGCACCCGGGCACGGCCCCCAAACTCCTGATTTATAATGTGAATACTCGGGCCTCGGGGATCCCTGATCGCTTCTCTGGCTCCAAGTCCGGCAACACGGCCTCCCTGACCATCTCAGGGCTCCTCGCTGAGGACGAGGCTGACTATCACTGCAGCTCGTACAGGAGTGGTAACGCTCTCCACGGTGGTGCAAGTGCCTGGGGAAGTGAGACCAAAACCCGCCCTGAGCTCACAGCCCCTCCTGCTCAGAAGATGCTTCCCCTCCCTGTGCAGAGGGGGCTGCAGGCCACACGCCTGGGGATCCGCTCCTCTCCCAGCCCCTCCTGCCCCTCCCTGAAGTCCAGCCTGCTCTCTGGTGGATCATCTAGGACGATGGCAGCTCCCTCTTCCCTGTGTGACGTGGTCCCAGATGTGCAACTATGCCCAGCTCTGCAAAGGCGGGGGCTCTGCGACAAGGAGCTGCCTGCTGGGTGCAGCCCCTGCTGTTTGGGGGAATCCTCACCCTAAATGCCTCCCCGTCTCCCACGCCATGAGGACCAGCCTGGAGAGGAGTCATTAGGGAAGTTTCCAGAAACGCCGTCTTACCCAACCCGGTTTCCGCCACGCTCTAGTGAAGGTGGCCTCCCTGCTGGGTTGATGCTCGGCAGGTCTGTACTGAAGCAGTCACCTTGTGACAAGATCTGAAGGTGTTTTCAGGGGATTGAAAACAAAGAGGAAGATGTCACTTTTTTTCTTCTTGTCCTTTCTCTTTGCTCCAAAACCTCAGGCTGCTGCGCCGGGGAGAGTTTGGGTGACACAGTCTGTGCTTTCTCAGCATCGCCCCTCCCCTCTCAGCACTGAACCCCTGTTCCGCAAACACCCACAAGTGCACTGTGTCCCCATAGGATGGAGAGTCCAAATGGCCCCACGGGAAAGAGTCACCTGGAGTGACCCCTGCCCTGTTGACATTGAGCACATCTAATCTCTACAGGGACAGTCATTTTCTGGTTGGAATCCTGCTTACTCTTCCGAGACAATCAATTCTAACAACACTGAGACATGTCCTCGATTCAATATTGAAATTTTCTGGAATTTTTTGAGCTCATTTTTAAACATGGCCATTACTATAGTTTAGATTTCACAGACTTCAATTAAACCGAGTACATTAAAAATAAAGCACATCCATTGTCTACTGCTGCACCGACATTATTCCTAAAACAGTATGTCAGGGAAAAAATATTTGGGACCTATTAGTTTGGTGCCCCAAGAACTTGAGAGCAGCTGGTGCCACGGTCCTGGCTCAGGGTTGCTCCTGAAGCTGCAGCCAAGCTGTCAGGGGGGGCTGCATTCAGAGGCCAAGCAGGGGGCCAGGCCCTGGTCTGAGGGGACCAGCCATTGTCCCTGACCTCTTTGGCAGACATAGGTGAGCTCAAGGAAAGGGAGAGCTCCCACCGGGGGCAGCATCCCTGAGTCAGACGGAAGGGTCCATGGGGCCCTGGGGCTGCCCCCAGCCTGTCTGGAACGACAGAGAGAAAGGAATTCACAACAGGAACAGGACAGAGGACCCTGCCCAGGGACCTGAGCCATCTTGACCGCTCCATCACTTGGGCTGTCAAGCAACTCAGAGGTAAACCCTAAATTGAGTTTTCCTGGAAGAAATTTCAACTGGGCCTGTCTTCAAACTTCTCCTTTCCACATTGTCTTCTTAATAACTCTGAATTTTGTTAATTTGTTTCTTTGTTTTATTTCCCCCAGGCTAGCTGGGCCCCATGTCTTGCAAATCTCATGCTGTTGTGAAACCCAGTAACTATTTCTCTTTATCAGAGCATTTTAAATTTAAACAAATTTCTTGGTCTTTCTATGTGTAATTGATCAAAGCTCAGACACCGTATAGAGAGTCTTCACCAAATGCATTTCTAGGCTCTGCACTCACTGTAACTGCAGCTGCTCATCTGTGCAGTGCAGGGTGAGGAGAGTGTTTACTCTCTTGAAATAGCCTCGGCAACAGCCCTACCCTCCCTGCTACTATGGAAATGGCTGGGCTTTCTGTCCACCTCTGATATGCTCCTGCTCTCTCCCTGTTTTTTCTATGGAATATGCAGCTGCGTTTATAATCCTTCTTGTGTTCTGGTAGGATGAGACAATTTTTTCATGGGTAACAACCAGACAGTAGTTCCAGAGATGGTCAGAAGTCACTATCACAACTCTTCCTGGGTCAAAATATCAAATATGGTCTCTGATTACAGTAACCTGGAACTTGCAGTTTAAGCAATTTAGTCCCTGTTACTTGTGGGCAGATTCATGCGTCTGTGGGTGACAATCTGAGCAAGGTCACTTCTGTGTCCATGCACGGATCCTTCCCTGCCCCTGTCCGCACACTCAGTCCCAAATCCATGGCCCTGGAGCATCGCATGGGTGACCTTTTAAGATCACATTGGTGATACAAAGAAAATGGAGAATATCACAATTTGCCTGCTGAGCATAATGTAAAAACATCTGGACAAGTTTTGACACAATTTGGGAGATAGAGTGGATAATAAAAATTGGCAAGTTACCTCTTCTGGGATCGATGCTATCTCATTTCTGTAAATCTCGATGGAACAAAAATCTCAGAACATGAGGAAATAGACTCAAGTCCAAAGTGACTCTTGCCTGTTTGTTCCCCATTAACTGTGTTGTCCAAACACTATGTGGGTGCAGCTGACAGGGCACTCAGCAAGCAGCTGCAGGCGGATTCTCTGGTTGTCTTAGCGTCCTGGAGCAGGGACGGAAGCATCCCCTCTATGCCTGCTGGTCCCGCGTGTGCAGACAGCAGCGCATGTCCCCGCTGACGCGCCAGGAGGGCTGTGCAGCCCTGGCCTTGCCGTGACGGGCAGCTGTCCGCAGGACGAGACCAGCTGCTCCCTAACACAGGTGCACGGGCCTCCCCCCCTCGCTGGGATCTTGCTTCCTGCCAGACACATTTCTGAAAAGGTGCGCCACCTGTCACCTCCTTATTCAGAGCCGCGTGTCCCGCTGCTGCTGGCGTGGGACCTCATGGGCCCTTCTCACCCCGAGCGATTTCCCTTCCACAAAGCTCACATGCTATTTCCTGCACCCACAGGGGATAAAGAAGACCGTGCACAGCGTGGAGATGGGAAGGCTCCAGGATCAGCCTGTCATAGTGGGGGAGGTGTCTGTCTTCTTTCAGCCCTGGGGTGACTCTGCCCCACCTGTGCACCCCTGGGTAGCTTGACTCTTGACCAAGGCCTCAACTTCCACTTTTTTCATACTCATTTTCCGATGCACAAAGACTCACTGTGCTGTCGGTGCCATCGTATAGCTGGTGCACCCGTCTCCCAGCCAGCAGCCTCCCCTGGAGGTGAGCCAGGGGTTCTCAACTGAAGTTGTCTCACGAAGGGGTGTCTGAAAGTTACACCCACAACTGCCACCCCCAGAGCAAATGAGCACCTGGTGCAGGGGACACAAGCCCTGCTCCCTGGCCGCCAAGCTGGACACACCCTGGGTGCAGTTGTCATTCAGAGCTCCCTACAGGAGTAGGCTGCAGCCAGACTTCACCTCTGTGCCTTCCCCACCCTCTTCTTCATTCTCCTTTTCTGCTTTCTATGGAGAACATTCCTCAGTAAATCACATAGGCCCATGTTCTTGTCTCTAGCCCTGCTTCCTAGAGACTGTGCATGGGATGGAGGGAAGGGTGAGGCCCTGTCCTGGTGCTCCATGTCTACGTTCGTCACATTCGCCATTTCTAGTACGTGTTTCCCGGGACATCCCAGGCATTATTCATGACAAGGCTAGAGGACATTCCATGCACGTGCTTGTGTGGCAAGTCATCATTTGCAAGAACACAGAATTCCCCCTTGTTCCTGGTGTGAGGACGTCTCACTGTGCATCTCCTTCCCTCCTACCAAGGGCACCCTCAACCCACAAGGAGACCTCAAGGTCAGGTAGGTAAACACTGCACTTCTGCGTAACCATTGCCAGGTTTCTTTATTTTCACATCGTCACGTTGACGCTCAAGGCAAGAATTGGAAGCCGTAGTTTAACACGCATGTGGGAGATTCATCTTCTTTTGACTCTACTGTTTCTGATGAGGACTTATCTTCATTGATTGGGACATATTATCCTCTTCAAACAATATAATTGTTGGTATTTTAAATTTCATTTTCTGTATCAACTATGGCTCTTTTCCATACACTGCCAAGATACACCATGGCGACTGCTTATGAAATTCAATTCATGGGCATTTAAATTATTTCTTTGATGATATCAAGAGAGTGCACACACAATGACCCCACATCAAACTCACACGTGATGCTGAAACTTATTTGCTCCGTGTCTTTCAATATTAGCAAATAAACTAGGATCTTTGACTTTTCCAAACACCCGGATCACAACAGGGAGGGCAGGTGAAACTCCACAGAAGTGCTTTTATTATTAACAGCCACGGGTAAATCAGACCTGGAGACCCACCCGCACTTGATGTGGATGATATTCAGATGAGATTTCGGTCTCACGGTGGATGTTGAGTTAGTGAAGGATTTGGGGCGGGTGGGTGGGGGTGCGTGTATTTCACAAGTGAGAAAGACCTGATTCTGGGGAGTCCACAGGGAGGAAGGATATTGGGGAATTGTGTCCCCCTGAGATTCATATGATGAAGCTCCTACCCACAGTATGGAACTGAATTTGGACACGGGGTCTGTAAAGAGGCGATTAAGTGAAATTAGAACATTGCAGGAGGTGGGGGGGTCCCCTGATCCAATTGGCAGGTGTCTTCTTAAGGAGAGATAATGTGGACACACAGAAATGAGACAGCAGAGATGACCATACAGAGGAGAGACCCTGTGAGGACACAGCAAGAAGGTCGCCCCCTGCAAGCCAAGGACAGAGGCCTCAGGAGAAAGCAACATACAGACGCCATTATGTTGGATTCCAGCTTCGGAACTGCCAGAGAATATGTTTTGCTGCTTAGGCCACTGGGTCTTTGGTACTCTGTGATGGCAGCACTAGCAAGGGACATCTAGAGAGACCCTGAGCCCTGGGATGAGGGAGAGGAAGAGTTGTGGCTCAGGTGGGGGCAGGGCAGGGAGGGCTGGAAGGCCAGGCTCCCAGGTGAGTCTCCTGGAGGGACTCTGACTCCACTCTCTGCTGCGTGGAGGACCTGGGGAAAAACGTTTCACCTTCCAACATTGATCCCTAATGAAGGTTGGGCCTTGGGCATAGGGCTCCTAGTTCTCCTCACACACCATGAAAATCTTTTCAATGTTACAATTATAAGTCCCTCACCAAAGTATGTTAAGTACTCAGAACTAGTCATTGCGCATGATCTAGTGACACATATAGGGTGACATTCCTCCCGTGGGCACCAGGGGCCACTGTGGGCCTTGGTTTGGGGACCTGAATAGCTCCAAGTCCCCTGGAGCAGTTCAGGAGCAAAAGGCATGACTGATGCTTCCTTCCAGGCCCTTCTATTAGGTGAAATCCACTCTCCATTCCTGATAAACACTTGGCCCTTTAATGAACTTGAGAAATTACCAGCGTGAGGCTCTCAGGCTCAGAGCTTAGACATCTCTAACACTTTGGAAAATAAACAAGGATTTGCATGCTCTGCTCAGGAGAAAACCACCCACAAGGCACAAGAGGGAAGGGAGCAAATTTGCATGAAGAGACTCCCTTTGATAAGAGAGCCCTGCAGGTCCCTCCCCACCTGCGGGCTCAGAGGCAGAGCTCTGGAGTCTCACCATGGCCTGGACCTCTCTCCTGCTCCCCCTCCTCACTCTCTGCACAGGTGTGGTCCCAGCCTCAGCCCCCACAGGACCCCGATTTCGGCCTGCCCTGATCCATGAGCTCAGCCCCGCACAGCCTCAGGGTGCGACCCCCTGGGAATGGGTCCTTCATCTTCAAGCCCCCCTCCTGTCCTCTCTTGCAGGTTTTGTGGCCTCTGATGAGCTGACACAGCCGCACTCGGTGTCAGTGTCCCCAGGACAGACGGCCAAGATCACCTGCTCTGGAGATTCACTGGCGAAAAAATATGCTTCCTGGCTCCAGCAGAAACCAGGCCAATCCCCTGTGCTGGTGATCTATAAAGATAGTGAGCGGCCCTCAGGGATCCCTGAGAGGTTCTCTGGGTCCAGCTCAGGGACAACAGTCACCTTGACCATCACTGGGGCTCAGGTTGAAGATGAAGCTGACTATTACTGTCAGTCACGGGACAGCAGTGGTACTCATCCCACAGTGACACAGGCAGATGGGGAAGTGAGACACAAACTTTTGCCCCGTCTATGTCACCCTCTCCCTCCAGCCCAAGGATATCTGTGGACACAGCCATGAGCAGGGCTGGTCATGGTCATCTGGACCTGAGACCCCCAGGCTGCCCGTCCCTCCAGCCCTCCAGGCAGGCTCTGCAGAGGGTGCGTCAGGGCTGGATTTGGAGCTGGCGGGACCAGACTGTCCTGTTGCCCAGGGTGTGAGCTGTGGATAGAGGGTCTGAGTGGAAGGACAGGCAGAGGGTGACATCCGTGCAGGCATGAAAAGCCCAGAGGGACAGGGGAACTCTCAGCCCTCAGTTCAATGCACTCAGTGTCGTGTCTCCTGGAAGAAGCCTCCTCCTTTGCAGCTGAGACCTCCAGCCCAGTGGAGCAGAAGGCGGGGGAGGGGACATAACATGGTTGCTAGTGGATCACTGAGGACATCAGTGAGTGGAGCCACTGCAATCCACCCAAGTTCCTGGACCCATGGATGCTGGCTGTGGGGACAAAGTGTCACATACTGGGCTCTGACTTACAGCATGTGCCCCATCCTGGAAGACATGGCCCCAACCACACATCAGAGACCCCCTGCAGTACCCTAACAGTGGGGGCACTCTGTAGTGCCCAGGTAATAATTGAGGCAGAAGCACCGTTGCCAAGGAAGTCAGTCTCCCTCTGGAGCAAATGTCGGTTCTGGTGAGAAGAAAGAATTTTCCCTGCCATGAGGGACGAGGACTCATGAAACTGATCTCAAGCAGGCACCTGCTGTTTCCCACAGAGAATGGGACCACACGGAGAGCAGCGTGGTCTCTGCTGTTGGCAGATGGTCCCTCCACAGTGGCTATCACCAGGCCAGCTCCAAGGCGTGGCCATCCACATTACTCAGCCCATGGACAACCTCTGTCCCTGCCACCAGGGCACTTTGTAACTGAGCCCGTCGGCAGTAACTGCAGGGGCTGGAGAAGGAGTTTGTCTGGTGTCCACACAGCCACCATCCTGTCCGTGTGACTGTTAAAATCATGTCCTTCTGTGGTCAGACTCCGGTGAATATTTATGTAGCAGACAAGTGTCCTCGTGCTCCTTGCCCACTGCTGGAGCTCTATTCACATGTTTATCCTCCAGACATATTTCTCATCAATACTCTGATTGTGTTTCTGAAGGCCCTGACCGTGCATCGGGAACCTCTGCCCATGTCTCTTTCTGGGTGAAATGAACCGGGCTCACTGCTCGATGTCTCACCTTACTGGGAGAACTTCCCTCCACCAGTGCTATCAGGATGTCCCAGAGTGGACATGCAGTAATAAAACTGTCTATTGTCAGTGGCGGCCACATACTGTGCAGAAACCTCTGTCGACCAAGCTGAGCTGTGTCTTCCTCCATCGGCTGGTCCCAGGGAGCTCCCAGGAGGCCCAGGCTGTGGCTGGGAGAGTCAAGGGTGGGCAGGATGGGTCAGATCATCACCATCTGGGCCACGTCTTTATGCCAGTTCCTTGTGCCTCGTGGTCACTCAGTTCTCAAATGCAGCGGGAGCTGCTGTGAGTGCCCAGGCTGTGGCTGGTGGGTCAGGCCACACCCAGGCCATAGGCAGCTCAGGTCCACGGGGAGCTCCGTGGCCCACAGTGCATCACACAGCCTCGGCCGTGGCCCGGTCCCCTCGTTAGTCTGCCTCAAGCAGAGCTTTCTGCTCACACAGAGAAGAATGAGAATCAGGGCTGCCCCTCTACTTCAGGTTTAGGGACAGCAGGATTAACTAGACCCACCCATGATCTTGCCAAACCATTCTCATGACGTCTGTAGCTCAGCTGTGTGTCCTGGTGACCACACCCACAGTGCCTGTGGCAACAAAATGCCACTACGTGGCCCCTGCCAGCCCTGGATCTCTGCAGCCACAGTCTTGGTGCCCAATTCAGGTTTCAGAACCACAATGAGAAATCTATTTTTAGGTTGAGAAGTGGAAACGTTTATTATTTTAATTATAGAAATTTTATAAGACAATTATGCGGAGATATTTTAACATATTTTACGAAGAGTGAAAGAGCTTTTTTTCAATAAGCAAGAAATTGCCCTCCTTTGAGCATTGAATTAACCACCAAATGCATGACCCATTGTGACCTTGTTCACCATGTCCTATAATCATTCATTCAAGATTTGAACAATTCTAAGCCCTGTTCTTAAGCTATAGATGAGCTGTGCAATGTAAGAGACACAGCACCGTCAATATTGGGGGACGTCACAGCTAAGGGACGTTGAAATCTACAAAGAAATACAGCCCGAAATGCAGAATCAGTGGCACAGGTGTGTCGGAATCTCTTGTGTCTATGAAAGGGAGAATTTATGACGGATACGAGAAAACTGTTGGTGACACGGTACACGGTATTTTATCTGTGTGATGTCAAAAATCTGGATTTGTTGGAATTATGAAACAAGAGACTGACGTTCTTCTCACCGATTCCTTCCACTGTACAGTTTGTGTTGCAAACCTCTGTGCTCAGGTTTCCCCAGCAGACTGGACTGAGAGCCTCGAGATGCAGATGCTGAAATCCTTCAGCCCGTGTCTGTACCTGCTGTGTAGGCACCTGCTGGAAGGAATAGAAGACGATGGACAGCGTGACCCTGAGCTTCCTCCCAGCGCTCACTGGGGACTCGCACAGGAGTTTACAAAGGTTCACAGGGTGTTAACTGCAATTCAGGGTTTTCTTGAATCAAAAGGAACCCTTGTCAGAGACTCAATAGTTAAACATCAAAACATGATACTGATTTTTCTCCAATATCCACTAAATTTAAGTATCAAGTAAACACAGAGGTTATTTGTGATCATGAGAGGATTGAGAATTTATATAAAAATGGAAACTTTTCATAATACAAATCATAATTTTACACACTATCCTACCACGAAAAAATATGTAGAGTATTTTCATTGTAATCATGGTATTGGATAAATTAGGTCCAAACGCTGCACTAATTTTGGGAGAACACTTTGCTGGGATTGATAAGTTCACAGTTGCTGCTCAGCGTATGCAGTTGTCCACTGATTTCAATGTTAACAGACTGAGTTGTAGCATTTTTGAAAGTGGTGTGCTTTTCAATCCAGTTCAATCAACTCTTGCAGAAAACATGAGCCACTTTTGTCATCGTAGATGCAAATATTGAAGGGAAAGGGTATTTTGGTGGTCAGTTCAGTTACCGGAAAATTTTTAAGTATGATGGAATATATAAAAATAAATATATATAAATCTACCTTATCAACCATAAATTTTATGAAATCTAAATTAATATGAAGTATTTTCTGAGGAAATTTTATATCTAAGTTGAGATGTGCTATTACTATGTAGCACAGTTAGAATTTCAAAGATGTATTATTGAAAATGGAATATATATAAAAATGATACTTCACTTACATATGTAAATAATATTTTCAACATTTTGCATTAAATAAATAAATTACTTTAATTAATTTTCTTTTTTTTTTTTGAGACAGTCTTGCTCTGTCACCCAGGTAGAGTACAGCGGCATCCTTGTAGCTCACTGCAACTTCCAACTCCCGGGCTCAGCGATCCTCCTGCCTCAGCCCCCGAGTAGCTGGGACTACAGGCAGCCGCCACCACACCCAGCTAATTCTTCTATTTTTTGTAGAGTTGGGGTCTCGCTCTTGCTCAGGCTGGTCTGGAACTCCTGACCTAAAGTGATCCTCCCGCCTCAGCCTCCCATACTGCTGGGTTTATGGGTGTGAGCCACTGTGCTTGGCCCTCTTATTAATTTTCTTTTTTTAAATTTTTCCAATAAGTAGTATTTGGACATTCCTAGGAAGCTCACTTCCTGCTGTTCTTGTGCAGCACTGGAATGGACTGCCCTTAGGTGAGAAGGGATTTGTCACCAGCAGGGGCAGCAGTGCCACAGTGGGGAAGGCCCTGGGAAAGGCTGAACCTGCCCAGGTGAGACCTGAGGAGGAGACATGTGCTGGGGGGAGTCAACAGGTATTGAGGTCCCTTCCCCAGACTGGCAGGTTAGGACAGTTCATTCCGTCCCTGAGATGCAGCAGACACATTCTGAGTGTCACACTCAGACCTGGCTCTGAGCAAACTGATGGAGACACCAGGTACTAATGAGCCCGTAGGAAATGCATCGGAGACGTTCCTGCTGTGGCCCAGGAAGCAGAGCTTGAGGGTGTCCCCACCATAGCCCGGAACCCTCTCCTGTGCACTCTCTGCACAGCTGCCGCCTCCTGTGCCCTGCTCGCGGGCTCAGCCCCCACCAGTCCTTCGCTAGGCCTGGCCCTGACCCTTAGGCTGGGGACACTGTATGGGGATCTCCGTGGGAATGAGCCCCTGGTCTCTGACAGCCTCTGTGTCCCATTGCAGGCTCTGTGTCCTCTCAGGGTGCTCAGGGCCATGGTGCAGACAGTCCTCAGCTGCTGAGGATGGGACAGGGACGTCTCTGTTCTGACTTGGTACCTGGGGAATCCAGGCTGGTGCCAACAGTGGGCTGTCAGTGTAGTGACAAACACCTTGTGCAGTGCTGAGCGATGGTTTCATAACAGTCAGAACACAGGACCCCTGACCTTCATCAGGGGACGGACTGAGGATGAGGTCACATGGGGGTGACAACAAACTGGCCTATGACATGGACAAAGGGAGACTGAGACACACATGCTGTTGTCCCTTGCCTGGCTCACACGATCCCCCTTCATTAAGAACTATGCTTGGAATTGGGGTCAGGAGACCAGAATCAATGTTGACATTGGCCTCCCTCCCTCTCCCTCCCTCTCTCTCTGACACTGAAGCCTTTATCCGCCATCTGCTGTGACGCACACGCAACGCTGACTTGTAAGCGTTCCCTCAAGGATCTCAGGACTTGGAGTGACACCTGCCGCACCTCCAGGTGTCATCAAGCGTCTACACCATGGGCCCCCCACCCTGCTCTCCCCTTACCCAGATCCCCATCAGATCATGGCCAGGCCCAAATCCACACCCCGGTCCCCTAAGCCCCACTGTCACTTCGTCCCCAGGCTCCTGAGGGTTCCCCCTGGGGACGGCAGATCCTCCGACCACACAGGCTGCTGTCATGTTTCAGTTCTGGGCCACAGCTGCAGCTGGCAACGGATACACTCCCAGCCCCACACAGGACAGCAGTGAAGGGCAGAAGGAGCCCTGAGTGACCAGGGCCAGACACTCATTAATGTCCCATGGAGCTCCTGCTGTGTCCCTGGTGTCATCCTCTGGGAACCTGGACGGGTGGCCCCTGGGGAGGCTGCTGAGTCCCCAGGATGGGGTGTGGGCAAGGCCAGAGTGGGTCGGAGTGAACTGGTGCTGGGTGGGTGTTTCCTTCCTCTGACTTCGGTACAGCAGCCACCTTCGCCTGACACTGGCCCTGCGCCCACAGCAGCAGCAGTCACAGCCGCCTCCAAGCCCGGAGACGTGGCCAAGCCCTTGACCCAGCCTCAGGGCCACCCAGCACCACAGAGGATGTGCAGGATGCCTCAGGTGGACCTGCCCCCTCCTCCTGCAGGTAGATGTGCTCGCGCCTTCACGGGGGTCTGGGCCCCTCGTGCCTGGTGCGGGGCAGGCAGGGCACACAGGGAAGAGGAATCCTCCCTGGGCAGCAGCCCGTGGGGCAGGAGGCAGCGACCTGAGCAGCAGCTTCTGCATTTGCACCTGGACCAAGGGGGCCCCTGAGCCTCCAGCAGCCAGTTTGGAGCGGCCACCAGGGGGCAGCAGAGTCACCTGACAGAGCCCCCTGGGGCTGGGGGCCAGGGCCTCAGGGAGATGGTGACATGCAGGGAGGGTCAGTGACCATCACCTGAGACCTGGAGGGAAACGTGTCCTCTTTATCTAGAGTATCATCTTTGAAAGTGGTGTAGAAATTCTATCTCTGTAAGATGTGACTCTTTCAGAATTCCCCTGTTACCCTAACACGAATCCAAGCACTGCATTTACCCGAACACCATGGTCGGTGTCCAAACTCTGTCACTGTCAGACATGTCTTGAGCATGGGGTCTGTAGCATGCCTAAGTACACTGGGGAAACTGAGGCACTGTACCTGTGATCTGCACAGGCACCTTAGTCAAAGGCAGGAACTCACAGTAACTTCATAGCTCTTTAAAACTCCACGTGCACTCGGCAAAGAATTTAATTCAAGCTCAGCTACTCAGACATTGTGACCTGAGGAAGA